GAGGAGGAGGAGGAGGAGGAGGAGAAGAAGAGGAGGAGGAGGAGAAGGCGGAGGAGGAGTAGAAGAAGAAAGAAGAAGAAGAAGAAGAAGAAGAAGAAGAAGAATCCGAGATGGGGAAAAAAATAAAATCGCTACCGCTATGGCTCGGGCTCAACAGGGAGGTAGGAGGAGGAGGAGGAGGAGGAGTAGAAGACGAAGTCGAAGAAGAAGACGAAGAAGAAGAAGAAGAAGAAGAAGAAGGAGAAGAAGAAAAAGAAGAAGAGGAGGAAGAGGAGGAGGAGAAGGAGAAGAAGAAGAAGAGGAGGAGGAGGAGGAGGAAAAAAAAATAAAGAAGAAGAGGAGAAGGGGGGGGAAAGATGATGAGGACGAGGAGGGGGAAGAGAAGAAGAAAAAGAGGAAGAAGATGAAGAAGAAGAAGAAGAGGAGGAAGAGGAGGAAGAGGAGGAGGAGGAGAAGAAGAAGAAGGAGAAGAGGATGAGGAGGGAAAAAGATGAAGAAGAAGAGGACGAGGAGAACAAGAAGAAGAGGAGGAGGAGGGGAAAAGATGATGAGGACGAGGACAAGGAGGAGGAAGAGAAGAAGAAGAAGAAGAAGAAGAAGAAGAGGAGGAAGGAGGAGGAGGAGGAGGAGAAGACGAAGACGAAGAAGAAGAGGAGGAGGAGGAGGAGGAGAAGAAGAAGAAGAAGAAGAGGAGGAGGAGGAGGAGGGGCGCTGGTGGACTTACCTTCGCGGCTATGGGGGGCAGTTGCAACGAAGCGGGATGGCGGGGCAAAGCAGCTGCAGAGAGAGGTCGGTAGCGGGCTCGAGACGGGGCGCTGGCGCTTGTCGCGTGGTGGGAGCACACGACGTCGATGCGCATGCAGAAAGGCGCGACGTCAACGTCGTGTGTTTCTTGCTGTAGCATGGGGCAGGCGGGGCGGAGGGGCAGAGGCAGCCCTGGACCGGTAAAGATTTCAAAACGCGGGGGCCTACCGGACCCCGTTTTCGTTTGCAGATATGCGGCCGAAATCGGGCATGTTTTCAAATTTGAAAACGGGGGCCTACCGGACCCCGTTTTCGTTTGCAAACGCGCGGCCAATTTCCACCGTCGATCTGCACCGATCGGCGGCGGAGATTGGCCGCGCGTTTTCAAACGAAAACGGGGTCCGGTAGGGCCCGCTTTCTTTTTTCCTGCTGGCGGCGGCCTCTGAGAGGCTGGGCGGGGATGGGGACGCCGGAAAATCCCCCGTACTGGCCCCCAAAATTCGTGCGCCCGATCGAACCGGGGGCCTGCCGGGCCAGTGAACCGCCCGGTCGGACCGGTCGGCTCCCGGTCGGTCGCAGGTCCCCCGGTCCATCCGGGGACCAGCACGGATTCAGAGTATATTCTATTGGGATCTAGGCCACCAGAGTGGCCCGGGGTGACTTGCCCGGCTGGGCCAAAAAAATAAAAATAAATAAAAATAAAAGAATTAATTTTTAATTTTATCTTTTATTCTAAATTTGGTGAAGAATTTCGATGTGACCCTGAGGCAAAAGTTGTTCAGTTTATTTTTCGGCATAACATACATAGTTTATTTTTCGGATTTTTTGGATTTTCTTTTTGTTTATTTTTTTTTGCTGGGACCTTCCCTGGTCCTTGCACGGGCTGGCCACCCGGGACCCGGGCGACCCGGCTGGTAGCCTAGATTGGGATCTATTTTCTAATGATTCTAGAGAGTATTTTCTAATGTAAAATAGAAAAGATTTTAATTTTGTTTTTAGTTTTAAATTTGGTAAAAAAGAATTGCGATGTGACGCTGAGGCAAAAGTTGTTCAGTTTATTTTTCTGCATAACATAGGTTGTGGATTTTTTATTTTTTTTTGCTGGGGACCTTCCCGGGTCCTTGCACGGCTGTGCCACCTGGGAAAATAAGGTGACCTGGGCGGCCCGGCTGGTCGCCTAGAGTAGGGTTTTTTTTTTTTTTTTTTTTTTAAGTATTGTTGTATCACAAGATCAAAGTGAATGTTGATTCATTTATTATTTTTTTTTTATTGTAGCATTTTTTTTGTTAAAGTAATTATCTAATAGACTAATGCCATATTCAAAAAAATTCAAATTCAGATTAAAACTAATTGTATAGAAACTTGTATGCTGTATTGATTGTCATTCATGGAGTCGCCTGCAGGCCTGAAAACACGACAATGGAAAAGGAACCTTGCTGCTCTGGTCATTGCCAAGGTAAGAATGGAGACTCT